CGACCCCTGTCCCTTTAGCCGGCCCCTCGCGGACCCTGGTCTCCCCTCAGCCGGCCCCATGCGGGACCTTCAGCCCCTCAGCCGGCCCCTCGCGGACCCCTGTCCCCTCAGCCGCCCCACAAGAAGCCCTCCCACAGCCAGCCCCGCGCAAAATCCCCGACAGATGGCAGAGCCTGAGACTCACCGAAACTTGGAACGGCCGCCCTAGGAAGGCCCACACCCCGCGAGCTGACTTCTCCGGTGGACCTCCTGGTGCGGTGGCCCGACCTCTCCGCTGCCGGTCCGCCGCCCCCGCGGCCTTCCTGGCCCTTAGGCCTTCAGCTCCTGAATCCCCGCCAACCCTTCCTTATCGCCCGGGCCTCGGAGCTGGCAGCACCGCCGCCACCGCCTGCCTCCCGCCCGCCCGCTAGCTTCTCGTCGGCCCCGCCTGCTCCCGACTGCCCGCGGGCTGCCTCCGCGCACCGCCCCCACCCCCGCGGACGCGACGCCGATTGGCTTGCGGGGGCGCCGGGGCGGGGCCACCCAGGCCTGCGGCCCGAAAGAGAGTCACTGGGGTTTGATGCGAGAACTGCCGGAGAGGGGGAGGCAGAGGGGAACGCGTTGCCGAACCAAATCTAGGCGTGGCCTTGGCTTGGTGGGCGGGGCACATTCCTGGGCGGGACCTGGGTTCACGGGGCGAGATTCGAGGCGGGACCTGAGACTGAGGGGCGGGGCTCATTCCTGGACGGGCGCCGGCAACGGGCTCTCCCCGCAGGGCCAGGCTATCAGGGCCGGGCCCGGCGGGCCTGACACGGGGGCGGGGCCTGTCTCGGAGGCGGGGCCCGATACGGGGGCGGAGCCTGGCTAGCATTGCGGAGCTCGGCCGGCGGGATTCGGTCTAGGGCGCCGTTGCCGCCGCGGGCACTCTGCCTCCCCGCCCTGACCGCTGGCCTTTCTCACCCCTCCCCTGTTCTACCGGGACCGTGCCTAAGGCACTGGGGAGCCACCGAAGGACCGGGGAGGCAGGCCGCTGCGAGGACAGCCGCCTAGTAACGGAAACGTGACTTCCGGAGCACACGCCCCTTCCAGTCCGAGAACCTCCGAGCACTGGGCCCAGAGCAGAGCCCGAGCTTCAGGGCCGCAGAAGCCGAGGGCAGAGAAGTGACCCTCAGGCAGCGGCGTCCACGCAGAACAAACCCGCCAGTCCCAACCTCAAACCCAGGCTCCGCGCAAGGGCCTACCCCTGCCAGCGTCCTCATGACCAGCTCTCTCCCAGTGAGGGGGGTCCCACAGAAAGGGGGGGTCCAGGCGACGGCGGGGCGCCACGGAGAGTAGGTGAAGGGCGCCAGCTTGAAGGGCAAGTGTAAAGATGTCTTCTCTAGTCACAGCTTTCCTTAGCTGCGCTTAGGACACTCATCGGTGCCATTGGCAGGTGGTCAGCAGCGGCACTGCCTTTCACTAGCGGACACAGGGGCCCAGGGAACACAGCACCCCATCGCAGGTGGTCCTCAATATGATGTGCTTCTCCAGGGGCTTCCTCCCTCTGAGCAAGCCGCACCCACTGATGCTTTAGATACCAAGAAACAGGGCTTGGACCGTCCCTCCAAAGAAACATCATCAGAACCACTTGCTTAATATTGAAACAATAGTGCTTTATTTACGAAAGGTTAGTCTTAATGAATACAAAACTGCTGTGTAAAATAAGTGTCTCCAACTGCACTTCTATAGGCAGGGCTTCCTTAGTAACAGTGCTATCATGAGCAAAACCTAATATGGAGATTCAGGCAGCAAACGTAAGGGACTTGAACAGTTCGCAGTGTAGGCCCTCCCAGCCCCCAGAGCAGATACTGGGGGCAACCGGCCCTACTGCAATCTTATGCGTACACAGGGTTTCTGTGGACCATGGTGAAGCTGTGCCACCCTTTTGTTTTCTCTAGCATGGTTAGTTGACAGATGCCAAGACAGCCCCAGTAACTGGCCTGACCGAAGGAGTCCTAGTTGTGGGGCACTTTCTCTTGGTAAATGGCACAGGGGGCCTGCATGGTTTTGGCCACTGAGATTCCACATGAAGGGGCAAAATGAGCAGAGCACCAGATAGCGTTTTGTAATACCCATCCCAACGAATGGATTCTAACAAGCAGAAAAAAACAGCCTTCCTCACCCTAGGGTTAATGGCTCCTCCCACTGAACTAGGGTAAAAACCCTGCCCAGCACCTCAGTCCTCCAGGTCCTGCTCGCAGGGCGCCACTTTGCTAGAGTGCCACTTTGCTAGAGTGCATTTCCCCACATCAGCAAAAATGCTGACCACGGGCACACAAGGCCCAGCCAAGAGGACCGACCCCACGTGGCTTCAATGCAGCTTGTCAGCAGAGATACGAAATGTCATTCCTAAGACACAGAATGTGTTTCACAACATGAAGGAAACGGTAATGACCGACAAAGGACGAGATGGTCTAGGAGTGGCCAAGAGACCACTCCCATTGCCTCCACTGGAAACACCTTTCCCATGGGAGCACTGGGAGGCAGCCAGGCTCAGGAAGGCCCGGCAGGTTCAGAGGTATGCCGACCACAGGCCCCTGATTTCCACAGCTGAGGGGACCTTCTGCACACGCGTCAAAGAAAATACATGAAAATGCAGCACAAAGTATGAGGCTGGTTTCTCCAGAGTAGCGTTAACCTTCTTTAAAAAGTTATTTTAAAATGAGCTGAGTGCCACCTTTTCCCGACTCTGGCTGTGTAGAGGAGGACCTAGGCTGCAGCACAGCTGACCCTGGTGGAGGGCCGGTGCCGTGCTCTGCTGCAGTGGCTCAAGGAGTCACCAAGGGCCAGGGTCCGGAGAGTGCTGAAATTGCCCCTCAGAAAGCCTGTTTTCCAAACACCTACTGAAGTATAAACATGCATGTCATGAAATAATTCTGTCCCATGTTGTCTGGTGACCAGGTGTCTGTGCATTGAATGACAGCAGCACACTGGTCTTAGGTGATGTGGACTCGGGAAAAGCAAGTCAGAGGTTCCACATGGTGCTGTGGCTGCCAAGGGCCTGGCACCAGGACCATTCTCAGTCAATCTGCATTTGTTTCTAGCTGTCACCCAAGTGTGCTCGCCACTGATTAGTCAGTTAAGTTGAAACGGAGATCTGACCGCTAGACTGCACGTGTGCTGACTTGGAAACAGAGTCTAACTTAGTGGTTGGCTAAAGAGGAGAAAGAATAAAAATCACCTCACAAAAGGAAGCGTAACATAGCAATGAAAGAAAAATGTTAAAAGAACGTCATACAAAGGAAAAAAAAAAAAAAAGAAACCAAAAGTTTAAACAGAAATTGCATTCTTGGCACGGGTGCTGTGACACGCAGCCAGAACCTCCGCCACCTCCCGGAAGCCCCACCGTGCAACTCGTCTGGAATGTTGTCTCTTTATCGCACAAAAAGTTTTCTGGAAAAACAAAGAAAACAATAGCTAACCAGTGGTGGTGCAGGGGTCCCATGAGCCAGCCACCCACTCCTGGGGCTCCTGCTCAGAAGAGATGGAGATAAAGCACCTGTATGGACCCAGGACCTGTCGTCACTCAAGGACTCAAGTTTCAAGAAGAGAAGCAAGCACCCAGGTCAGAGAAAACAGGCAATCACCTGCACCCCTCCTGCCGCAGGGCGCCCCCCAAGTGCTCAGTTCTTTCCCACTGTTGTGTCAGCACCAAGCCAGCGGGCCTCCAGGCTCAGCCCTGCCACTGAGGGAGTCCCAGGACCAGGCAGACCCCTCAGCAGCTTCATTTCCTCATCAGTGGATGAACTGGGAACTCTGCAAACCCGCCAGGCCCACTCTGAGGTGTGAGGTGCTCGAGGGCCTCCAGTGCAGGCACGCGCTGAACCGTACGCACTTCTGCACTCTACGCACACTCGGTGCTGCACGGTGAGCCTTGCAGGGCAGGCCCCTCTCAGTCCTGCTTCAACCACCACGGGAAGACAGGACCAGCAGCTCCCTCCCAGCTCCTTGCCATCTAGCTGACTGTTCTGTGGCATGCGCCACTGGGGCCTCCGTGGACCACTCCTCACCCCCGTTTTCCACAGTGAGGCTTCTCACTACTTTCCATGGCCGTCCCCAGCTTCTCACGCATCCCTAGGTCTGCCTCAAGGACGCACCATCGAGCCTTAACAGAGGCCCCCAGTGCTCTCCTGAAGTCAGTGTTGTCACAGCAGCCTTCGTGCCCATTCTTTCCTTTGCACTCGTGGGCCCTGAATGACCTTTCACCCCTTCCTCTGGAGAACAGACAGTCCCCAGTGACCACAGAACACAGGAGTGGACATGTGGCCTCCCTCATCCTGGGTCCCTGGTGTTTATAGATTCCTTTTGAGAAGCCACACCAGCACAGACTAAGCCAAACTTCTGGTGACCTGCTAACTGCCCATGGTGGGAGTGGCCAGGCGCAGGCAGTGGGAGTGGCTATCAGGAGCCCTGTGCCAGCCCAGGTGGCCCGCTAGACGTGGCATGGTCCTCCTCCCTTCACACCAGCTTTCTTGTCTGTCAACTCCACAAGCTACTCAGTGGTACCTTTTTATAGTCTTTGAAACAAGATGTTTTCAGCATTAATACATTTCTAATTGTATGACTAATACAAATGTTTTGACTTGTAATTTTCCTTCTGTAAGCTTAGAAAATATGCAAAATCTTTAAAACAAAGCTCAAGAAAATATATCAATGTTGGCTTCACAAACATTGTGAGCTTGAGGGTTGTGAGCCTGAAGGCCCGACAGACACCCTGACCCTGGCTCCCTAACTCTCGGTTCTCAGCAACAGCTCAAGACAGAGCTCAGCGTGCCCCTGATGAGGCACAACGGGAGGAGGGTCTTCCCTGACATCCAGGCTGCGAAGAGAACCTGGCTGGCTCCCACGGCTCCAGCTCACGCAGCACATACGCGTCACCTCCCGCTCGCCAAGAGCCCACTCGTGCAGCACACACAGCCCCCTCTCCTCTCTGCGTGTGTGCGCCACCTCCCGCTCGCCCGGTGCTTGCACCCCCGCTCAGCTTGTGCAGGTCACCTCACACGTGGTGCCCGTGTGCAGCGCCGTCGCCGTCTCCCGTCTGCATCTGCATCTGCATCTGCGCCTGCATCCTCGCGATCATCTCCTGCATGCGGCGAAGCTGGAACCAAGGAATTTTGGATACGTTATTTTCAGTTTGTCCTCTTAATGTGACCTAGGGCTATTCTGCGATTCCTAAAGTTTTAACTTCTAGGCTTTCTAAAACGTGACAGAGTTAACATACAAAGAACCTTCACAAATCAGCAAAAAGAGGACTCAACAGAACACTGAGTGGTACGAATATGCACGCCAAGTAAGAAATCTAAACCAGCAACAAAGAGACAAAACCGGGCGAGTGCTTTCTAACCTCCCAGGTGGGCACAGACTGGCAACATTCAGAGGGATGGGAGCTAAGTGGGGGGTAGGAAGTGACTTAGCTCTTCTGAGAGCAGCCAGGTCCCAGCTGTTCAAGTACTAAATGCTTTAACCCTGCTTTGTCCTTAGGGGGCTCTGAGAGACCTCCCCACGGCAGATGTGCACGCCCACGTTCCCAGTGACATGCTCCACCCTTGTCACATAGCAGCCTCCACCTTCCACACTGATCTGTCGCACTGCCACCAAACAGTTCTGATTAACTGCTTATAACCAGTAAGGCAAGTCTCATCAGTCCGTTTTTACAGAACATTCCATTTTCCTCATGCTTATCCTTCAAAGTAAATGTTAGAATGATTTCATCAAGCTCTCCTCTCAAAGAGAAGCCTAGCAGGTATGCACACAGCCCTGCTGGGACGTCCTGGACATCAAACTCAACAGAGAGGGGACCGGGATCCTGCACTGCCTTCCCACCCGCGTACCTGCAGCTCCAGGGATCTCTGAAAATGCCTCTTAACCGTAGTTTTCCACTTTCTTCCCCCCATGGGTCCTCTGACGTTTCTTTTTAAATAGCTCACTGTATTTAAAAATTGTTTACTGTCTACACATACAGGAAAATGACTCAGTTTTCAATTTCACCAAAATCAATGTTTGACTAAACTCTTAACTTTACAAGTTTTTTTTAGTTAAACTATCATCAGCAATTGAGAGAATGTATGTAAAGCATGATGAATATTACATGCACACGTGTCTATGTAAAGGACCATGACTACCATGTACACACACATGTAAAAAGAACTGTAAATATTATGTAAATGTGTGTATGTAAATGACCGTGACTATTATATACATGTGCATGTACATAAATGATGACGACTATGTACACGTGTGTGTATGTGAAGGATCACAACTATTATGCACACATATGTATACATATAAAGGACCACGACTATTACGGAAACCTGTATGATTACGTAACAGCCATGCAAATCAACCAGACGAGTCACAGGTAATCTACCAGTTCTCAAAAAATTGAGAAAAGAAAACTGTCAGTCGGTCAATTACAAAGAATACCCTGTGAACCTACAGCTTTAGCCCCAAGGACACAAATGCTGCTCCACTCACCTCTGCTTCCTTTTCCAGCAAGATCTGGTCTTTATTCACGTCCTCATTCTCCACCTTCCTGAGAGTGGAGAGAAATTACAATCATGATACCATGATGAACGCAGTCAGTTATTTCTCATGACTGAAAATTCACTTTATAATTCTGAGAAACACTCCCATTTAAAATCACCTACGTTGGTTACTTTTGATTAAAGATGTGAGTGAGTGAGAAGGGAGCACAATGTGAAAAAGGCGCAAACAGCAGAAGGGCAGACCCCAAAGGCCTTTGCTCCTGCAGCGGCGGTGGGACTGTCGTCTTCCGCTGACTGGGCTCACGTGCCATATGCAGAGCTCTGAGCCAAGATGGACTTCGTGAGCACAGAGCACCGCCATGGCCCCGAGCGTACAGTGCTCACCACATCCTGCCCCAGGGCCAGAGTGGCTACAGGGCCCAGGCTGCCTTTTCCTGCGCAGGTGCAGGGACAGACATTCCTGCCACCATGCCACAGGCCCCTCTTAAAGAGGGGCAGGACCCGCTCGTCTCTGCAAGGACGACAGAGGGAATGTGGGAAGTGGCAGGGCCTGAGCAAACACACCACACAGCCGTCCTTGGGGCACTGGCCCCACCGTAAACTCCTCAGTCAGGTCCCTAACTGAACAGCACAGGAACTGTGACTTTTGTTTGCTCCACTCATGGAGGTACAATCCTCCTTGTTATTAAAACATGTGTCTCCATGAGCTGCTGTGAGAAAGCCCCCAAGGGGGAATCACAAAGTTCTGTGGAGCTCTGTGGGGTTCTGTGAGACACAAGCCAAGGACCCAATGAAGACCCACAGCTGCTCCAGGGCAGCTCGGATCCCCCACAGGGACCCACAGCCAATCAGCGGCAGTTCACCGTGGCTCACTCCTTTGCTGGGGAGCCACAGTTACAATGGCAAACACAGCTTTCCTCATTTATGAACGATGACGCTCTCAAGAAGGGACCCAGCCTTTCCATCTCAACCTGCTCCTCACGTGCAGCCCATGAAGGCCACCTCTTCTTCCCAATGCTGAGTCTCCTGAGAAACTTTTGAATAGGAAACAAATCACAGTGCTTAGAGGACAGGAAGCTGAATGACAGATGGGGGTGGGGAGGTGACTGACAGGGGCACAATATAGATGGGATGGGGACCATGTGCCTCAGGCCACACCACCACACAGATGGGGAGACACACAACATGGCTCGGGGTGACACCACACGGAAGGGCGGATGACATAGCTCAGGGCAACATCAAAGGATGGGGATGACATGGCCCAGGATGACACGGCTCAGGGCAGCATCACAGATGGAAGGGGGATGACACGACTCAAGGCAACATCACACAGAGGAGGGGACCACCTGCCGCCTCTCTTGAGTCTCTCGGAACGGAAGTTCTCATAGTGGAGGTCCTGGGTCACCTCCTGGAGGTCCTGCATGTGCGTTCTGAAAGAGAAAAGGACCTGCACTGAGCTACACGCTGAGACACACCCTCGTGTCACCGTCACAGAAGAAACAGTGATGGAAACTCTCCTTACACCTGGCAACGGCACAAAGTCACCAGACTCTCCGGATGAGGAAGTGGCCACAGAACCAGCTAATGAGGCACACCCTCCCTCGTTGCCACAAGAATGCACCTGCAGGGCTGGAGTGAGCCCCAAGCACTGCCAGCCTGTCTAGGGCCAACATGCCGAGGAGCCAGACGGATGGGACTGAGGGGGTCTTGGGAACACAGTGTTCAAAACAGAAAACACTTTCCTAAAGGAACTTCTGGAAAAATGTACCTCCAACAGTCTCAGCTTGTCCAGCAGAAATTAATACACACTCTTACACCTTGAAGAGCCAAGGAGCATCCGTGATGGAAAGGGCAGTAGAGGGAACCTGAGTGTTCTGGATCTAACAGCAGAACCATGAGCTCTGGGCCTGACGCTTGTCTCAGGACAGTCATCCCCACGAGCCTCCTGCTCATCTCAGGGGACAGTCACCCCTGAGCCCGCCCCTCGTCTCAGGGGACAGTCACCCCTGAGCCCGACCCCCGTCTCAGGAGAGACTCAGAGGAGTCAACTCTCTAAGCCTCCAGCTCATCTTTGGAGACAATCATTCCCTGAGGCTCCTCCCCCAGGATTTACAAACACACGTGCACTCTGGGATGAACAAACATTAACACATGGCTGATAACCAAAAGGGTGAGTGGTTCAAACTCACCAGCTGCTCTATGGAAGAAAGATAAGGCAGTCTGCTTCCATAAAGATTTACAGCCTTGGAAACCCAACGGTGGTCACTATGAGTCGGAATCAACTCAGTGGCAGTGAGTCTGGTTTTTCAAGTTTACTCAGGATGGAGGCAACAGGCTGGGTCTTGGCAAAGGGGCCCCTGGTTCTGAGAATCACTCAGTGGACACCCGAGTGGAAGACCTTGCCCAAGGACCTCAGCACTGGAGGGGCTGAAGCAACCTTTAACTCCTCACGTGACAGTTAAATTATGCTCAACCCAGCATGACTGCCGACGGTTTGCTGACTCAATTCCCCGACAACGGCCAAGCTGAGCAACAGGGTATGCGGCAGACACAGCAGTTCCCCGTCACAGACCAGCCACCTGTCAACTCTGCCGAAAGGGCACCTCGCTGGGCATTACGCAGGGCTCTCTTCTGACCTCCTCATTCCAGAGCAACAGCTACATGCACTTCTTACTAGACGTGAATTTTTTTTAATGACTATTTCTGCAGCCGAGCCTACTGTAGTCACAGACAGGAAACCGAGGGGTCTGCAGGCCTAACGGAGCAGCTGGATACGTGCTGGTGGCTGGCACGCAGCAGCACAGCAGCGGGCCGCGCCTGCGAAGTAGCCACACGCTGCTCCCTGCAACAGGTTAGGGTCAGCGTCACTATACTACAGCATCCTCCTCACCACAGCAAGAAAGCCTTCTCTTCGGGCCCTACTCCGTCAGTTCAGGTCCATGCAACTTTTAGCACTAAAAAACTTCTAGCAGGGGAGCCATGAAGTCATAGATCATGTGTAGAAAATGTTTTAGGGGCCAAGAAGCCGCAAGTCGTGTGTGGAAAAGCTCTGGGAGGGGGTCATGAAGTCACAGGGTGTGTGGGAGCGGCCCAGGGCACAGGCATATGCAGCCATGGGTGAGTCTGGCAACTTGGAGCTGGGCAGGGTGCAGCCCCAAGCCTCCCCGAGTCCCCCCCGAGTTCCAGGGTCTCACATGAGCATGGTTCTCAGCTTCAGGAAGTCATTGTGTTCGGGGTTCTCCACCTCCACCACCCCCCAGGGGTAAAGGCGGCCTCGGACCTTCTTGCCTTTGGCTTCAATCAATTGGTTGGATCCGACCACTGAGAACGGGATGCTGGCCTAGAGAGAGATAGGGAGAGAGGCTTGTCAGGAAATGTTGACTTTCACTGCAAACACAGAGCATCAGCAGACACTTAGCACTGTCTGCACCAGGCTCATGTGGAAAAGTGAGGGTTTGCCAGCATCTCCCTGGGAAGGGCCAGATACGCTCCACACGGATAAACAGCATGAAAACAATCTACACCTTTAGCCAACAACGCAGCAGCAGGAGTCCCAAACACAGGTCCCCATTGCCTACAGTCTGTTCAGATGACGCCCGACCACACTTATGCCCATACTCCCTTAAGATTGTTTTTTAAACAGGAAAGCAGTTCCTCTTTTGTCAATTACTTCCCCCTAATGGCCTTAAAGATCTCAAACCCAGACCCTTGCAGTGCTGGACCACGGGTGGGGTACAGGCAGTGACACAGAGCACGTACTCTGGGTGTGGGCTCTCTGGGGCCTTCCAGGAGCCAGGCTGCTCTACCTGCTCAAGGGCGTGGGGCAGGGCACAGCCCACTCCATCCTCACTCATGACCTCTTGCTCCATTCCTGCCACCCCAAGATGGCACCTGTTCCTCTGGCCTCTGCCAGCAGCAGCAGCGGTGGTCAACAACCAGGAAGAGCCCCCGTAAGTTTTAACACGGGTTTGCACAACGCCCAAACCACGAGTCGTATCTCACAGAACACGTCACGGACACTAAGTGCCACATACTCATGCACGTAAACAGAAAGCAAGACGGTAACTGAGCCACGTGGATGATCTCAGGAGGGCTGTGCATTCTGGGGCCTGACCCTTCGACAACCCTTAGGAGCCCATGGACTGGGAAAGGCACTCCTACCTTGAGAAGCCTAGTTTGCTCTTTAAAATCTTCATCTTCGTCAGACTCAGCATCAGGTAAGTGGTAGATTTTGATACTGTGTTCTTCAATTTCATCCAGAACCTGAAAGGAGGACAGAAGTGCTAACAGTCTGAGCAAATGCTATGTTGCCTCAGCCAACGTAACCCACTACGTCACAGTGTGCCACAGTCATCTCCGTGTCAACAAAGACTCAAACTGATGACTAAAATCGTCTTCGGGTGCTTTTATGAACTGCTGGAAAGGCATTTCTCCCTGACTTTTTGCGGACCCCGTCCAGACCAACTCTAGTACCTCAATGCTAAAGCACAAGGACATGCTAACAGCCTAGCCAGCAGCAGAGTCAGCCCAAGGACACAGAGCAAAAAAAGCAAACAAACGGAGAGCTGCTACAGGCACACAGAGGGGCGCCTGGAAGACAGGAGCCATGGGAGGAGAGGCAGCCAAGGCTCATCTGGACAAACACCCTTCCAAGGCACAGAGGGGAGGACACACAGCCATGTTGGGAATCACAGGTAATGTGATTTCCTGTGGGGCTGAAATATAAGACTACTGGGTGTGTGAGTGGACGAGGCAGGAGAAACTCAGCTACCACTGGACAGTTGTCTGCATTCCAGGCCAGGGATCTGGACTTCACTCAGTGGGCCCCAAGCCAGCAGTGGAGTGTCATAGCCTGAACCAGACAGGCAGAAGATGGCATGAGGGACGCTCTGAGAAGAGCTAGCTGCCCACCACTCCACACACACCGGGGTGAGCCCAGACCAGGAGGCGTGCAGCTGGGAGGCCTGAAGGCAGAATTGATGGGGTTAAGGAGAGGATGCCTGAGTGTCCCCAGCAAACTCGTGACTACAGCGAGGGGACGAAGGAGAGGCTGATGAGCAGGACCAACAGCACAGGTCCTCAGTGACGGGGCTGCTACATGCCAGGGACACATCACCAAACCAAGCCCCGACCTCAGGGACTCAAGGAGCACACCAAGGGCCCTGTGTGGGGTGCTGGGGCAGAGTTGGAGGGTCGGGGAGCGGCACGAAACGGTACAGTCAACCGTGCAGACATCTAGGGAGGAGTCTTCTGGGCACAAGGGTCACTATGGAAAGGCTCTAAGGCAGAAACACAGTGGTGTGAAGAAGAGCAAGGGGACTGGGACAGAGAATGTCGTCAGTGAGAGAAGCCTGAGCAGAGCATCAAAACTAACCCGAACACTCATCAAGGTTGTTGGTGCTGTCACGGCAGCCCTGACTCAGGGAGACCCTACACGCGACAGAGCGAGACACTGCTTGGTTGTGCGCCGTCCTCAGACCTTGCTATACTTGAGCCCTGCGTTGCAGCCACTTTGCCAACCCATCTCCGCAGGAAACTGGTTGGATGAGTCACACACGCTCACACAGGGCAGCTGCTAAGAATTACTGTGGAGCTACACACACGTGCCACGAGGCTGAGAGATCCGTTCATATCGAAAAATCAAATGGCAGAGTTCCACAGACAACACGATCTCGTCCTGTGAAGACAGGCTGTTCTTGGGGAACTCTACTGCAAGAGTGGCTGTTTTGTGGGTCTTGGCACTCTTGTTTTCAGAACTTAGCATAACTCATCTATCTGAACTTTCTTAATGAACACAAAACCAGAAACAGGTAGACGACTGACAAGAAGACCCTGCAGATGGTGTAGATGGTGGACAGAGGCTTCTTGGAGAAAGCACCTGGGGTGGGGCGGGCACAGGCTGGCTGACACACAGGGGCAACCTGCACTCAAGGACTCAAGAGGCAGGCCGTGAAACCCCGGGACCAGAACCCCCACACCTGGAGCAGAACCCTCACACCTGAAGCACTCCTGGCTAGACTGTGTGAGGTGCTAGAAAGAAAACGCCACAAACGCATGCAGACCAACACGGGTCTGCACTCACGTCGTTCACTTCCCAACTCAGCCACTTCTGAACACTCAGGACCATAACCCAAGCCAAAAACCTGGTACCTTCGTGAAGGCAAAATAATAAAAGAACAACTGCCAGTCTGCTCATTATTAGCTGTCCTTTAAAGACATCACCCCAGAGGCTGAGAACAAGTCCCACAGCCCTGCCTCCTTAGACAGCGCAGAGTCCCCCATCACTTGCCCTTCCTCCCCTCCCTCCGCTCCCATGGAGGGCCCGGGGCTAACTGCCTTCCCTCTGCTCCCACGGAGAGCCCTGGGGCTACCTGGCTCTCCGTTGCTCCCACAGAGAGCCCTGGGGGTACCTGCCCTCTGTCTGCTCCCTTAGAGAGCCCTGGGGCTAACTGCCTTCCCTTGCTCCCATGGAGCCCCGGGCTAAATGGAGACTCACCCGTTTCTTCAGGCGCTCCCGCTCCTTCAGTGTGAGGGTGTCGGCCTTTGCGATGACGGGCACAATGTTCACCTTATTGTGGATTGCCTTCATGAACGCAACATCCAAGGGCTTCAGTCTACAACGTTGTTCATGCATCATGTTTAGGGACAGAACAGGAGAGCACGTGCTGTCTCAGTTCCCGCAACACTCAGTGTGGTGAAAGTCGGCACCGGCGCCCACATGGCAGACGACAACTTACCCGTGTCCAAAAGGGGAGATGAAGTAGAAGCAGCAGTGAACCCTGTTGTCTATGATGTGTCGTCTGTTCAGGCCGCTCTCATCATGCAGGTACCGTTCAAATTGCTCGTCAATGTAGGAGATGATGGTCTTGAAACTGAGACAGAGACACCAACAATCATGGGGTGCGAAGGTAGGCGGCCCAGCTCCCAACAGGAGACCTGTCTCCCCGTGTCCCGTGGGCATGGAACACAATGACTGTCAGCTGGAGAAAACTGACTCCTGGATTTTTCACTTTGACAAGGGACATTTCACCCCAGGGCTGGGAGTAAACAGCCTGACTAGAGTGTACCATGAGGAACCTGAGGGTGACGAGGTAGAGAGCGACACCCACTATCCCAGAGCGGCAAAGCCTCGGATCAGTAGGCTTACTAGGGTGTGGGACAGTGGAGTGCATGGCCATGTGGTAAGAGCAGCCCAGAAAAGCGAGAAGGCCTCCTGCTTCCTTTCTCATCTCCTGCTAGCAAAGTCAACGCTGGGTGCTCACAGGGACCAGGGCCAGGAGCACTCTGTACCACCACAGTGGCCTGTCTGCATGGCTACGGTCAAGACCACTCCGTCCAAGGTAACAGTAACTTCAGAGCCAAACACCCCGAAGGAGTGAGCCACTGGGTCCCCAAGCTCAGGACCACGGTCGTGGGGGCTATCAGGCTCGATTGGCATGAACACACTGCACAAAAGCATCATCTACATTTCACTCCGTGAGTGGCGGTGGGTCTTCCAAGCTTGCGAGTGGGCCATCTAGGTGCAATAATTGGTCTCTCCTCATCCACAACAAAGAATGGAGAAAACCAAAGACATGTGGAAACATTTAGTCCAAGGGACTAGTAGGCCATGTAAACCTTAGCCTAGACGATTGTCAGACAGAAGAACTAGATGCTTCCCAACTACCAGTCAACCACTCAGAAATGGATCAGGAGATCCTGGACAGAATGGGAGAACAATGTGGGACAAGACTCCAAATTATCAAAAAGACCAGGCTTACTGGCCTGATAGAGGCTGTGAAAGCCCCGAGGCAATGGCCCTTCGTGCCCCGTCTGGCCTGGAATTGAACTCACTGAGGATTCCAGCCAAACAACAGACAGGTCCACAGGTGACCACTGACACCAGGTAGGCAGGTGCACGCCTCAGTCCCCTCAACCGCGGGAGATCAGAAGGGCAGTGTTTGCACAGGGAGATGGCTCAGTGGGCAGGAATGCATAGGAAAGGAGGACACAGGAAACAAGGTAAGCACAAAGAAGAAGTGGGAAGACAGCTGTTACACTGTGGGACTTGCATTTAACATCACGAAACAAAATGTGTATGAGCTGTTGTACGCAAGATCAATTTGTCTGTAAACTTTTTTCTTTTCCAAATAATAAACGAAAGACTGCTGTCATCTCCACACTTGCGCTCCTGGTGTGTGAATGTCTGCCAGTGAGCACGGGTCTGCAGCACCATCTCCGCTGATCCCTCTCCCAGGCCTTGTTCCCTCCTGTGTAGAGGAGGAAGCCTGCACCAAAACACCGTCCCAATTCCTTACTTCAAAAGTCCCTGTTGGCTGAGCTACAAACAGTCTCGCTGTTCTACAGTTACTCCCGCCCTGAAAGTGCTCATTCACAGCATAGGCAAACGTGTGATGACGGGGCGCAGACACCAAGGTGGGGACGTGTGACGGTGCCTGGCACACACCAGTCTCGGCAGTTAATGGCATCACCGTAGCCAGGTGTATCCACCACGGTCAGTCGCAGCTTGACCCCTCGCTCTTCAATCTCCACGGTGGAGGCCTCGATCTGGACGGTCCGCTCTATTTTTTCTGTAAAAGAGACAGACTTGATGCAGGAAGCGCCGTCAACACGAGGTGGGACCTGAGGGGGCGCTGTTGTTAGTGTTCTCCACACCCAACGCCATGACGGCTCCATCCCACCCTTGGGTGTGGCATCTCAGCTACTCACTACCTCCCTCCAGAGGTGGGTTCTTAGAAGTTAACATGAGGCTCGTGTAAAAGCCAAAGTAACATGTAACACCCCAAAGTCAGTGAAGGAAAAGCCCAGGAGGAGATTCATGTAATGTTTGGAAAGATTAAAATGCCAAGATTAAAAATGACAATTCGTTCCTGGGACAAAGAAAACAGAAAATCATCTAAGAATTTATTTAGAAGTTGACTCTCACAGTACCAGCAAAGGGCCCTCTTTCCTGCTGCACCAGCCCATCTTGGCCCTGACCTGGCGCCCCTTTCATCTACCCCACGAGCCTATGTGGGTACTGGTGGCCTGTGCAGGGATCTGGACATTGGGTGAAATGGCAGCCACACCCATGCCTATACCTAGAGCTTGGCTTCACTGCAACAAACAATCCCCATGATCCTCCCACCAGACCTGCCGCACCAGAGAAACTACTGACCACATTTCCCAAATGATGAGAACCAACCTACAGAGGAAAGATACAGCGCCTCACCTAAGTGACATGTTCCATGTTTAAAGCCAAACAAAGCACGTGTGTCTGTGTGTGTCTATACACACACGGCTGCAGCATCCAAGGTTTCTGGGCTCTCTCAGCACATACACATGTGCACTCCCCTGGGCTGCAGTATTAAAGCTCCCCGGCTGTGCTCCACACACACACAGGGCCACAGCCTCAAAGGTCCCCGGGCACTCTCTGCAAACGCATGCACACATGTAGGGCTGCAGCCTCAAAGGTCCCCGGGCGCCCTCTGCACACACACACGCATGCACACATGTAAGGCTGCAGCCTCAAAGGTCCCCGGGCGCCCTCTGCACACACACACGCGTCCACACAGGTCCCCAGGCACCTCCCCTCGCCTCTCCCAACAGAGCTTCCACCAGGGCCTCACCTGCCGCTCCGGGGAGGACCCTCTCTGGGTAGAGGTCAGTCAGGAACAGGCTGTTAATAAGCGTTGACTTTCCCAGTCCCGACTCACCTGTGGTGGAAACAAAGCACCCTCACGACCACATCCACATCCACATGGCACAACAACTGTTAAGTCTCCCGAGGACCCCGGAGGCCCAGCACGGGGTGCAGAACCTCACGTCACTTCATATCCTGGTCACAGCGCTGTGTGGACATGTGTGAGGCCGTCACTGGCCTGGCAGTGGTTCAGAGCCTCACCCACAGCACTTCACGTCCTTGTCACAGTGCCGTCCAGACATGGGTATGGCGGATCGCTGGCTCAGGACCTCACCAACATCACAGCACATCCTCATCACAGTGCCGTAGGGACATGCACGAGGGCAGTCACTGGCCTGGTATTGGTTCAGGACCTCACCAACGTCATGACACATGCTGGTCATGGTGCCATGGGGACGTGCATGAGGCTGGTCACTGGCCTGGTATTGGTTCAGGACCTCACCAACGTCAGAGTGCTGTATGGGAAACAGTGCCATCTCATCTCACTAATGAGGAGACAGGCATGGGGCTGGTCACTGGCCACGACTGAGTGCAGGTCTGTGGACCGCAGGGTCTGTGTGTCCTGCTGCACTGCACCCTGCGATCAGATCGTGGTCTCACCTCCTCCTCAACGTGGGGAGTGGCTTCTGGGAGTTGGTCTTTGTGTTTGACAAAAGGAACGGAAAGCAGGTTTTCAGTTCTGACTCCAGGTCACTAAACTCCAGAGCAGTCTGAAGGGATGTGTTCAAAGAAAAGCTATGGGAGACAGGGCAGCCGCTCAGGGTGCCTGGACAGGTGGGCCAGGGCAGACATTCCCCCGTTCACCCTCCCACTGCCCAAGTGGGGACTGGCCCTTCCTCTCACCAGTTCACACCCCTCATTCCTCACCATGCAGCCACCCCGTGCCCAGCACCCCATGCCTCAGTTCACGCTGGTGATGTGAGGTGACCCAGCTGGGCATAGTGTTCCCTCAAGCATGTAATGAGTCAGAAATCTCCCTTCAACTCCTGTGACTCTACATCCTGAATACTTCAAATTTAACTTCCAAAAATACGCCACGGACCACAAAATTAAATTTTATGTTCAAAGGAAGCACAGAACCTAAGCAACTGCTGACTAGTTTTCTTCACACACTAGAAGCATGAACCAGTCCCCTCTCTGCAGGTTAATCCTATCAGGCACAATCTGAACAGATGCACGCCTCAAAGTTGCCTGCCAGTCAGCCGTGAGCCAATGTGAAATGCATTTGTGATGTCGGGCATAAGGTGTACACATCTGTGGACAAAACAGTCGCCATGTTTCAGGAATCATTATTGCTGGATGTGTGTCAACTTGGCTGAGCCTGGTTGAGTGGCTGGGCAGCTGGATGTAGTATTCCCCATGATGAGACTGGTAATCAACTCCATGGTGGAATCTACTATGAGCAGCTGAGTAGCTGCCTTTGGGTATGTGGTCTGCTTCCTGTATATAAGGAGAAGTTTTGAGAATGGTCTCTAGCCTATGGCACGCTTGGACCCTGCACGTAGCCGTGTCTTTGTTGAGCAGCCTGCCATGCTCTGCCGACTTTGGGACTTACAATGGACTTAAGTTAAGGGCCTGCCATGTGGTTTGGTAACATCCGGACTGTGCCTTTTTACTTGTCAACCTTGGGGCTTGTCAGCCTCAGCAGCCAGCAGCTGTCTGAGTGAAGAAATGCCTCTGGCTCCAGTGGGCCAGGAGCAGGAGGCAGAGCTGGACCCCAAGGTCGAGGGGCTTTCACCCAGCCCCTAGAGCCTGGCACTGTGAACTTGGACTTAAAGCCTTCAAACTGTAAGAATAAACTCCTGTTTGTTAAGGCCATCCCATTTGTGGTATGTTTCCTGTCAGAGCGGCACTAGGTAACCAGAACACTGGACAATCAGGAAACAGAGTATATCCAAACTATGTAGGTTTACAGAAGCAGGCCATACATTCCTGAGACCACAGTCTTACAGGTGAGGAGGGACGTGGGCCAGACAAACCCGGGGCCGAGTACTGAGCGTACCTGAGCCGAGCGTACCAGGGGCACACGAGCTCTCCTTCCAGGGCAGCCCCTCCTCAGTGGTGGGCAGGGCCCTCCCGAGTGGCCTCACCGACCTTTGCTAAGCACTTTCTAAGTGCCTGGCATTGGTCTAGGTGCTGAGACCCGACAGAGAACAAGACAGAGACCCTCAGTCTTCACAGAGTCTGCAGGCCAGCAGGGCTGACAACAAGGACTATCCCTACCCACTAGAAGGGGGACAGCTGGACAGAAGCACAGCTCCACAAAGACGGGTGCCCAGAACATGACATTTCAGCAGAGGTGGCATCTGCTGAAAAAGGTGCAACATCCCAGACACTGCTTCTAACCTGCAAACCTTCACGTGTATTAGGGTGTATGGGATGGTTTCAGGCAGGACAGCCTCAGGGCCACGCCTACAGGTGGCATGCTTACTAACACAGAAAGGGCATAACTGCGCAGTGTGGGCCGGACCTGGGAGCTCCGTTCTGGTCCCACTCTCTAATACCTCCATCCTAGCTTGATGTCTCTGAGATCAGTGTCATTAACGGGGAGAGGAGACACATGAGGAGCTGTGGATCTGCAGGAGGCCACTAGCATCCCAAACCCTTCCTGCAAACGACACGCTACAAGAGTGGCAGCAAAGTGCCGCATGCCAGGGTGTGCGTGTCAGAAATACACGACTGTCTTGTGCACAAGGGAGCGCCACAAATGGACCATCAGAGCAGGAGGGCTCCCCCTTCCTTCTGAAATCCCAGCAGGCGAGCTGTACCGGAGCGTCAGCTTGTAGTCTAACTCAAGTGGAAACACGGTAAGAAAACACACAGCTCGGCCAGTGACAGAGCTTGCAGATCTGGGGGAACCTCTGCATTTATCTTCAAGTTCTGAACCAATGAGGGAAGGCTGCTTCCATCCCAAACACGGACCAGTGTGCCCTCTCCAGAGGCCCTGGACACTGGTCCTCCCACTCACACAGCTCCGTCACGCATGGGGGCACAGTGAGACAGGGGAGACGTGAGAGGAGGCACCACCTCACAGGAGGGACACTCACCCACTCGGGGGTGGGGCCGAGGAAAGTCTGAGAGTAGGTGGCACAGATCCAGAGGCTACCCCTACCAGTGACAACTTCCATCACATCAGAGAACAGCAGGAAAAACAGAATCCTACCATTCAGCAAGGGTTTCCAAGCAACAGCTACTTGCTCAAATTCCCCAGTTCCCTGACCCCGCCGACAGCATCCCCCCTATAGCTTCACAGCCTGATCACTGGGCTCCAATGCTGGGAGGGGAAGAGCCATGTCATTGAGTAATGCAATGGCTTACTGAACCTACCCAGGACTCAGCAAACACTCACATAATCCCCCACTAGAATGATGAATTCCTTACCTACAACCATCAGTGTGAACTCGAAACCTTTCTTCACGGACTTGCGGTGCACCTGGTTGGGAAGATTTGCAAATCCAACGTAGCCAGGTGTCTCTGGGTTTATAAACTGCGCAGGCTGCTGCTACAATGAGATTTCAAAGAGGAGACAAGCACTTCCGTGGCTGCTTTCAAACACACCCAGCTACATCACTGACAGATACAGGTAACAGGAAGTTCTCAAACAGTGCAACAGACAGGCACACAGTAAACTGCTTCCAACTAGTCACACTCCAGAGGGAAGCGGCTGCTGGGGATGGCAGCCCAGTGTCATGGGCACGGACTAGCTGGGGTGGACATTCTGGCTCCTGTACCCTGGTCAGCAACTAAAGAGGCATGTTTCATCTGCCTGGACGCAATTTCAGGAGCATCATCCGTGAGGGTCACAGGAAATGCGGCCAGACTCAAAGAGTAAAGCCAGACCGGACGGTCGCTGCGTTCTGCAAACTTAGCTCAACTTGGGGCAGCTTCCAAAGCAAACTCTCCCAGCACCGGTGTGCAGCGTGGGTGCAAGAGCCATTTCTAACAGCTGTGTTCCCTTTGCCACAGAGCCTGGCTCCCCATGTGAGTGGCAGGGTGTCAACTGCCCTGGGAGGACTGAGGACAGGAGAGTCGCAGCAACCACACAGGAGCACCAACGCTCCTGGGAGATGACAAGGGGGTGATGGAGCAAGATGTGCTAAGGCAAGTGTGGCCACACCAGACTCCAGGTGGTAGGCACACAGGTGTCACTGTAAAATTCTTCCCCCATTTATGTATGCCTAAAAAAATTTAGTAATAAGACACTGCAAAAAAAGAACATGTATGTAAGTTATCATTAATGTGACAGATTTCACTCGAGTCCTGGCATTAAAGCTCCACGGGTCTGCAGTGGCCGATATCTCGGAAGTGAATCGCCAGGCCCCTCCTCTGAGAAGCCTCAGGTGGACTTGAGCAGCCAACCTCTGGTGAGTGACTGAGCACATTCATCACCTGCACCCCCCAGGGACTCTGGGTAAAAGGAAGCGGTCAAATGAATTGCCCATCGCACAGCTATTAAAGCATGTTTACTGAAAAGGGGAAGAAAGTTAGAACAAAAGTTCAAATGACAACGCAGCGTTAAAACAGCAACACGCTGACAGAGCTGGTTTCCCAGGGGTGGGAGCGAGGGCTCGTTTTTCTTTGTTTATCTGCGGTCCACACAATGTCTACAGCTAAAAATATCTCAACAGAAAAAAACAAAAATGAGTATGAAGGTCGTGCACCTGAGAGCAACAGTCTCCAAAGAGAACAGACCCAGAGCAACACCAATCTTCCCGCAATCCGAAGCCTGGTGCTGCCTCCCTCAGCCTAAGAACCGCCTGCCTCAGAGCTCTGGGCTCTCGGCTACTTCACAAGGACTGGTCTAAGTCAAGTTACTACCTGGAAGAGCCCCATCAATTCTATGGAGACCAATGATCAGAATCTTCAGTGATCGTTTCTGATGTTATTTTCTTGGAAACAGGAAATGGAAGCCTGAAAAGAGATCGCACACGGCTTCCAGGATGAAATCGAAATCTGAATGCTTCCAACTCAAGAAGTCAGATGCTTCAGTGTTAAAGACACTGAGTCATGTGAATTACATCAACACTGGGACCCGTCTCTGTGAACAGTTGGAAAACCTAGGGCAGTTTCTTATACTGTAACCCAAGTATGGCCTCTTACCTTGGACATCTTGAGTGAAGTCTCGTCAACCTGCTGAAAAACAGATATACACATGTGCACACATACACAAGTATGTATGAGCACATGTACATATACATACATGCGTACACACACCTTACACATGTGTGATTTAGTAGGAACTGACCTGTTACTGATTTATACATAAGTCATCAATAGCATCTCACTTAGCTTTATTTTGTATCAAGTACTTCCCCAGAAATAACTGTTTCTCACTATGAAGATAAATCCGATTTTAAAAATCAGAGGTTGATGAAAGCAACTATACACACCCATGTACCCACGTACAGTCCATGCCTTCCAACAGCATCCAAACTTCCTTTAGTACTTATTGTAGACTACGTATTAGGGAACAGGAGCCTTGGCAAACAGTAGTTACTCAGCTGCTAACCAAAAGGTTGGCAGTTCAAATCCACCAGCCACTCTGCAGGAGAAAGATGAGGTCGTTCTGAGCTGGGATCAACTTGATGACTGGTTTGTTTAGTTTTCTAGGTGTTAGGGACCAAAAAAAAAAACCCCAAACTCACTGCCACCAAGGCGATCCGAATCATAGCGACCCCTCCTTGGGTTTCTGAGGCACTATCTCTATGAAGTAGATTGCCCAATCCTCCATCCTAGGAGTGGCTGGCGGGTTTGAACCCCCAGCCTTCTGGTTAGCAGCAAATGCCTCAGGCACAAGGCCACCAGAGCTCCCAGATGTTAGGGACATGATAGAAAAGGTATGCGTCCACAGTGTCTGGAGTTCCATCACGCCCCTTCTCTCTCTAAAACCTTTCGAGGCTGGGAGATGCTGCTGGGTGGAGGGCTGTAACGCAGTGCACCACCTTTCCAAGATTCCTGGAGCTCAAGGACCAGGTTGGGACCCTGTCCAGGGCACAAAGAACAGCTACAACAGTAAGCAAGAGCAAGGACAGAAGGACCAAGAGGGACACACGGCAACAGTCAGAGATATTGGGATTTCCCCCCCAAGTACACAAGCCCTGGAGCTCCAGGATGTGCAGTCTGGGCTGACCTTGGGTGACAAGGTCAGGTGACAGGACTGTAGTCAGACTGATTGCCTGAGAGTTTAAAAACTTCTCAGAAAGCTTTGTTTACTTGTCTACCCTTCCTTCTCAAGGCTAAATCTAACACTCCTGATTACCACACCCCCAAGTTTCTGTTTCCAACAATAATGCACCAACTTCTCTGAGGAAATGAGGCCACCTGCGTAGGGCCTGGTTAACTCCGGGGAGCCTCTTGCAGGACAGGTGCTTGTAAGTCTCCAGCAGCATCTCTCGCACAAGGCCGAGGCTGTACTTGGGGTTCTCAGTTCTCCTTCTGGTGGCCACTGTCGGGGGCCAGGGGAGGGGTGAGAATGGCTAAGAAATACTGACAAATGCAGTCTCCAAAGTGCTTCTTGCCTTAGCGCGAGTTTCAGCCAAACAACAGACAAGCCTACAAGGTGCCCCCCCCCCC